AGTGAAAAACAGAGTAAACTTGGAGAGGAAGATTTTGTGTTCTAGAATCGAAAAAGGATGAATATCAAGAACAGAAATAATCAAATTAAAATTTGATTCCTGCTCTGATACCAATTGTTAAGATTGAATAGCTCAAATTCTTGGTACTAAAACTTACTTGAATGATCGGTTAGACAGTAGTAGAGCAGCGGAAACAGTATCAATCAAGCAGGTAGAAACAGTAAGAACACAATGAAGAACAGATGATGAACACAAAGAGAATTGCTTCAAATGATTTTCAATAGATTGAAAATATCGACGATTACAAATCTGGAAGCTCTTAAAATACAAAGGCCTACGCTGCTATTTATACAAGCAAGTAACCGTTTCCTGACACGACCTTAAGCTGTCAAATCTGAGCCGTTCTTCTAGAACAAATTACAGACAAGGTCACGTGAAAGTCACGTGCAGCTAATAAACCTAGGTAAAACATGCTTAAGATAATCTACACAGAAGACATTTTTGCAGATCCTCTGTGAGACTTCACAGAGGCTCTGCTGGATGAAACTTTGTAGAGCGCAGAGGAAATCTTCCAGAACCTCTATGAGACACGACAGAGGTTCTGTCGTCTTTGACTTGTAGCATGGAGTTTTCAGAGGAGAAGTTTCCAGAACCTCTGTGATGGATGACAGAGGTTCTGTCACTTGAAACTTGTATGATAGAGCTTCTTCTGTTGATTGTCCTCTGTTGTCTTCTGTGACAGATCAGCTTCTGTCAGTACTTGCTGTTTTACTTTTTCTATACTTTTACATTTAAGGAATGAGAGCTAACAAATACCTTGACAAATTTGTGATAGTTTTCATTGATGACATCCTTATCTACTCAAAGACTGAGGCAGAGCATGCAAAGCATCTGCATTTGATCTTAAGCCTGTTAAAGAGAGAAAAGATATATGCTAAGCTGTCCAAATATGAATTCTAGTTAAGAGAAGTATAGTTTTTGGGTCATGTCATCTCCAAAGAAGGAATCAAGGTGGATCCAGCTAAAACTGAAGTTGTAGAGAAATGGAAGGCACCACAATACCCATCTGAGGTAAGAAGTTTCCTTGGATTGGCTGGCTATTATAGAAAGTTCATCCAAGATTTCTCCAAAATAGTTGTACCTCTAATCAAGTTGACCCGCAAAGATTTCAAGTTTCAGTGGGCAGAGGATCAACAAAAGGCTTTTCAAACTTTAAAGGACCGTCTCTATAGTGCACCAATCCTATCTTTACTAGAAGGAACAGAAGATTTCATTGTCTATAGTGATGTATCCAAGTTGGGTTTGGGCTGTGTGTTGATGCAAAAGGGAAAAGTAATAGCCTATGCATCTCGCCAGTTAAAAGATCATGAGAAGCAATATTCAACCCATGATATGGAATTGGCAGCTGTTGTCTTTGCACTAAAGATTTAGAGGCACTACTTGTTGGGGACCAGATGCAATATATTCACAGACCATAAAAGCTTGCAGCATCTGTTTACTTAGAAAGAACTCAACATGAGGCAGATAAGATGGATTGAATTGGTAAGTGATTATGATTGTGAAATTCTTTACCATCCAGGAAAAGCCAATGTTGTAGCTGATGCTCTAAGCCGCAAAGAGAAAAGTGGAACTATCAAAGTTGTGGCAATGAGCATAAATCTATCTCTGGACCTTCATAAGGAGATACAGAGATATCAGGCAGAGGCTGTTCAAGCAGAGCACATCAAGGCAGAAGGATTGGGAAAGATGCTTGCCAACTTAGAAAAGAATGATCAAGGGCTGTTGTGTTTTCAAAACAGAGTCTGGGTGCCATGCCATTGGAATACAAGAAGATCATTTTGGATGATAGTCACAGGTCTCGTTACTCAATACACCCAGGCACCAATAAAATGCACAAGGATTTGAAAGTGTTCTACTGGTGGCCAGGACTAAAGAGGAGCATAACTGAGTATGTTGAGCAGCTATGACATGCCTGCAGGTAAAGATTGAACACCAAAAACATTATGGAAGCTTTCAAACCTTGGAAATACCTGTTTGGAAATGGGACCATATAACAATGGACTTCATAATGAAGTTACCCCGAACAACAAAATTTCTTGATGCAATATGGGTAATAGTTGATCGATTGTCCAAGTCTGCACATTTCCTGCCTATGAAAGAAAGTTATACTCTTGAGAGGCTGGCTCAACTGTATATTAAGAAAATTGTGACCAGGCATGAAGTTCCATTGTCTATCATTTCAGACAGAGATAACAGATTCACTTCTAAGTTCTAGGGAAGTTTCCAAAAGGCCTTGGGTTCTCAAATCCATTTGAGCACAACATATCACCCACAGACTGATGAGCAAAGTGAAAGAACCATTCAGACTCTGGAGGATATGTTAAGGGCTTGCATAATTGATTTTGGAGGAAGCTGGGAAGATCACCTGCCTTTGATTGAATTTGCATACAATAACATCTATCATTCCAGCATTAAGGCAGCCCCATATGAAGTTATGTATGGGCGCAAATGTAGAACTCCTGTGTGCTGGAATGAAGTAGGTGAAAGGCAGTTAACAGGACCAGAAATTGTGCAAGTCACAGCAGAGAAAATTGAGCAGATTAGAGCCAGAATCAAGACTGCTCAAGATAGGCAAAAGAGTCATGCTAATCAAAGAAGGAAATCACTTGAATTCTCTGTGGGAGATCTGGTAATGTTGAAAGCATCTCCTTGGAAGGGTGTAATGAGGTTTGGGAAGAAAGGCAAGCTCAGTCCAAAATATGTTGGGCCTTTCAAAATTTGCAAAAGAATTGGAGCAGTAGCCTACCAGCTAGAGCTACCAAAAGAGCTTAGTCTCATCCACAACACTTTCCATGKCTCCAACTTACGTAAGTGTTTGGCAGAGGCCACCCAAGCCATCTCATTTACAGAGATCAAGTTAGATGAAAAGTTGAACTTCCAAGAGGCACTAGAAGCCATAACTGACAGTAAGGTCAAGACTCTAAGAAATAAAGAAATCAAGCTGGTGAAAATTCAGTGGAGGTTTCATAAGGGTTCTGAAGCAACATGGGAGTTCGAATAAGAGATGAGAACCCATTATCCTTGGTTGTTTGAAATGTGAATTTCGGGACGAAATTCTTTTGAGGGGGGAATAATGTGATAACCAGGCTTTCAGACATATTGGGTTAAGGTACATTATGTGTTTATGTGTTAATAAGCATGAATTAATTGGAAGTATGTGATTATGCATGCTAAATAAAATGRATTATATGTGTATGTGGTGTGAATGATTTCTGTCCACATAATTGGAAGCAGCATACAAGCACCTTGTTAAGCAGCTTGTATGATGCTGCGGAATGATTTCTGTCCACACAATTGAAAGCAGCATACAAGCACCTTGGTAAGCAGCTTGTATGATGCTGCTGTTAAGAAGCCTTCTTGACCAAGTATTTGTGTTTGTTTGTCTACGAAGTAAATTTCCACTGCCTATTTTCTAAAAACCACCTGTGTGTGGCTATTTAAAGAGAGATGTGGTAAGAATCATCCCTTACCATTTGCATCTCAAAGAATTTCTGTGGAAAGAAGAGTGTGGAATTTTGTGCAAAAAGCTGATTGATCAAAGACCTTAAAACATAAGCT